GTGTGAGTGTACCGTCAAATCAGATCTGACTGGTACAGGAGGGGATTGTCCCTCCTTCCCCAGCAGAGCATCTGGTGGGTTAGAACCGTGCGCCTCTGGGATTGTAGTTGCAGCTCCTTGCCACTAAGCCACCAGAGCTCCCCACACACAAAAAAATTTTAAGTTGCTTTTCTCTCTTAAATTCATTTTAAGGTGTTGATTAAATAAAAAAAAGTCTAAATAATTCTTCTATATGCTAAACTGACCAGTCCTTGGAGGGGGATGTCATGCTTGGGAGGGTGAAGGGACAGTGCAAGAGAGGAAACACTCGATGAAATAGAGTGATTCAGTGACTGGAGTAATGGGGGTTAAATGTGTCAGAGACAGTAAGAGGACAGAGCAGTGTTTAGGGTTGTTGCACATAGGGCTGCTTGAGTCGCAGGAGACTCAACAGCACATAACAACAACAAAAAACAACAACAAACTCAAAAGCAACTTACTGCCCTCAAGTCAGAAATGATTCACAGCTGACCTTCCAGTGGGTTTTTAGCGGCTATAAATCACCCAGGGGGAGACTGCCCATCTTTCTCCCACAAAACAGCTGGTCGATTTGAACCACCAACCTCTGGGTTGACAGCACAACTCCTTAACCACCTGATCCCTAGAGCTCAATTTATTTCAATGTCTAGATAAAAAAAAGTACCGTATTTATGAGGAAATTTCCACAACTGTGGGCATCTGGATGAAGTATTACTAAATATGTACTTATTTTTGTTTCTGCTATGGAGTTCTTGATGTCCTTTTAGGCCTTCATGAGAGATTTTGAACATTTTCAAGAATATTCTACTTACGTAGCTCCAACTTCAGGCTTAAGAAAAACAGCCAAAATTTACAATCAAGCTCAATAATTATGAACAAACAGTACCACCCTGGTAGCTGGAAAAAAAGGCTTTCCTTACTATAAAACTGAAAAACAAACAAAAAACTCAACCCACTGCATGTCATTGAAAATGGGGGAAAGAGGGCAGAAAGAAAAGGTTAAGTTAAATATTAGCTTCCCAGTTAATTAATGAACTATAAATATTAGTATTCAGCTATGCTATACTAACTGCCAGTCACACCACAAATGCAGAGTTAGTGAACTGCTATAATCACAATTAATACAGTCATTACTGCCGAAGAAGCAGTGAGATGCTAGCGTTCCACACCACAAGACTACGCCATTACCCGCGAGGGGTCTGTGGGGGAAGAAAGCCCCTCGGCAGCATCCTCCTTGATAACTTCCTAACAACACAAAACAGGAGAGTTTGGGTGAAAAGGTGCAAGGACGAGCCAAAAGATGATGAATGAACATGATATCAAAACAGTAAGAAATATTTAAACACTTAACGTGATCAGATTTTTTTTTTCCTTTGGTGGCAACATTTAACAATTTTATCAGTAATTTAATTCCTAAATCTTTCTGCCTCCTAATTAATAAATTACATTAACAGGAAATTAGTTTTTAAAATTACTAGTAAAATGGAATTTATTATCAAGAATACCTAATATTTAAGGCAGAAAGATATTGTGCTTTGGATTTATTAGCTTCAATAAAACATTTGGCTAATTTGCTTTATCCTATTTAATTTCTCTCATGAAATATTCTTTCATTATATCATCTAATTTTTATACCAAAAGGTTAATATTATATAGATGCTATATAACCTTTTAAACGATAGTAGAAATTCACAGATGTAAATGTTTAATTTTAAGAGTTCTGGTGCTGGCATTAGCACAAGTCAGAAATCCATAGCTGTAAAAAGCATTTACTCACTGAGGCTGTTAGTGATTTTCCTCCCATAGATTTAACCAGAAATGAAAACAAATACATTTATGTTAATAATAGCATATGATTCATAAAACTATTTAGCAAATCAGTTATACTCTTCTCCTATGGAAAGGAAATAACCAAACTTGTAATGCTCTCTATGTTTATTATTAGATTAAGATTTTAGTTACCCTTTTATATACTTACTAGGCCATTGTTCTGATCTCTGGGCAAATTCGTTTTTACTGATGGACGTGAGATGAGATGTTGGGAACTGCCAGGGTAATACCTTGGCGTGTAAAGGTATGGGGCAAAGAATGGCTATGGAAAAAAACATGTAACAAAAAAAGGGGGGATAAACAATTACAGAAATTAACGTATAATGATATTTCTCAAATGAAACTAATCAAACCAATAAAATACAACAAGACAATTTAATGCAAATGACAAAACAAAAGGGGAGAAAGTCTCGCTCACATTCCATATTCAAACCAAACATAAAACATATTATTTAACTTTTAGTGTTCATTTAATGTATGTTTTTCTAAAGGAGCAAGTTTTATATCTTTTATTTTGACACATGATCTCCTACTTATTTAACACTTGTATAGGTTTACCATGTTACAGATTCCAAGTTATTTCTAAATATTAACTCAGTGGATTCAAAGAAAATACCACAATGGAATCTTAATAGGAAATCATTCCTTCTGGAAAAAAAGATTACCTCTATAATGATGACACAAAGACACACACACACACACACACACACACACACAACTGTTGACAACACCTTAGTCCAGGAAGACAGCTGAATGCAAGTTCCTAGAGTTTGCCCCATATGAAGAAGGCAAGTTCGTTTTTAAAGACAGGTGAGGAATACACTCTTTAGATTTATAACTAAAGCAATTAATGGTAACCAACTTCATGCAACTCGGAGATATTAAATGCCCTAAACATAACTACTAAAATTCATGATGCTTCATTACACATAAGTATTATCTTCTACCATCCCTTTTTTCCAGTTTTTTCTTTCCTTCAGTCGCTTATTTTCTTTGCCTGACAGTTGATTCAACTTTTATGAATAAAATTATAGATGACTAGAAGGAAAAAAGAACTTAAAAGCTAGATACAATTTAAATATTTAAAAATAACAAAATTCCATATAGAAGCATTGTCATTACAGTGCACCATCAAATCAGTCCTGACTCACAGTAGTTCTGTGAGAGAGAACAGAACTACCCCATCGGGTTTTCCAGGCTGTAATCTTCCTAGAAGTAGATGGCCAGGCCTTTCTTCCCCCGAGCTGCTGGTGGGTTTCAATCACCAACCTTTACTTTAACACTAAAATACTTAACCACTGCACTAGCAGGTCTCCTATGTAAGCATCAGCGCAGTATTATGATTCATAATGTCAGAGAGCCTAGTCTGGCAAATTATTTTTTTTTTTCAAAAACCCTAACTTCTCAGTCTAAAGACATCAACTGACACCTATGCTTAATTAAATAATTTTATGTAGAATTTTAAGAATGTAAAGGAAAACTTGCATTTCACACTGCTTATCATATACTTAATTTACAAGGATAGAATATATTATAAGGTTCTATTTTTCTATCCTTTTTTTCTTTTTTAGGGGGAGAAGAATACTTATAATGTCTCTATAAATGGCCATTTAACTGGCCAGTATCTTTAAAAAATTTTAAATTTAATTTGTATTCTAGAGGTTTTTTTCTTTGTCACAATTATTTTAAACTTCTCTTTCTTATCAGCTCATAAGAAATTTACTTAGGTAAACAGCTGACTTTTATAAATTCTAGCCTCTGTGTTTTCTCAAATTAGACTAAAGAAGAGAAGCAAAATGAGAAATATTAAAGAATCTTAAAGTACAGTTCTAGAAAGCTCCGAAGTGCTCCATTTTCCTAAAGAAAAAAATCAATATTTAAGACCATTAAAGTGAAAATAGACAGCTGTGTTAACTAAACTGGACAGAGTCTATAGGTCATTAATAATTATGTTTCCATTCAGAACATTACTATATTTACATAAAGAAAACAATACATTACTGAATAAAACTTGAAATAAAACAAAAAAAAAATGAGCTACCTGGCAATAACATATGAGTTCTATAAGCAGTATTTTCCTGTTATTCCCTCATATTTAAAAGATATAAAGTACACTAAATACAGGTTCACTGAACTAGTGTAAAATTTTGTCCTTGTTCTAAACATCAACACATATCATAACCTCTACCAAATGGAACATTTGTTTATAAACAAATGAAGAGTAAGATATATTTGAAACAGGATAATCATGGTTAACTCTGGAATTTACTTTCTTATCAAGAAAACACATAAAATAAAATAAAAAGATTGCTAATATCCATATTCTCTTGTGATCTAGAACCTACTTAAATAAAAAATGATTTGGTGAAAGCAATAGTATTTTACATTTAAACTTTGCATTTCATCAATTCCAATGATAAAATACAGAACTAAAAAAGGAATAGAATCTGTAACCAGAAAACGAAAATTTCTCAGAATAAATTCTTAAAATTAAAAACTCTTACCACTGACTTACCCTGTTATAGAATGGATGCTGAGGTCCTGTCATACCACTATAATAGCTACTATGAGGCTGTGGAGACACAACTCCACCCCCAAATGGTCCATTAAAAGAAGTGGAAGAAGAACAAACAGATGGAGGCTGGCTATAACCTGATGGTGGTCTTGGAGGAGCTTCATGCAAAGGTAGTGGAGGATATGCAAGTCCACCAATATTAATCTGGTCTCTTGCAGCACGAACATCTGAAAGATTAAAATTATACCCCAGAAAACAAAAGAAAGACATTCACAATTAGCCCAAGGAAGTTGTCCCTAAATTTGTGATAATTCTCAGATAAGTATATTAGATAATTTAGGTGATATTATATATTATTGTAATAATTTTTATTAATTTTAACAAACTATTAATAACTCATATTCCTAAAACTGAAAATGATTAGCCAAGACTATGTATGTTGTTGCTGAGAACCATCAAGGCAGAATCAACCCATAGCTGACCCTCCAGTGGGTTTTCAGAGGCAGTTAATTGTATGGGAGGAGATTGCCCACCCTTTTCTCATGGAGCAGCTGATGGATTCAAATGACGTGCCTTTAGCATTGCAGCACAGATTCTTACAACTAGGCCACCAGAGCTCCAAGACTATGTATGGTCAAACGAAATGAATCATTCCGTTCTGAACAAGCACCAAAGGACTAAATTCCATATTCACAAAATATACCTTTTCTAACTCCAGGACAATTATCAAACAACAATAATCTAACTAAGAGTAATCCCTGGAAAATTTAAAGACAGATCAATATCTGTTATCATAAAAAAAAAAAAAAAAAACAAAAAACCCACACTCCAAAGAACCCCTGCTTCAAAAAAGGATTGCTTGTGTGTATACATGCATATAAATTTTAACATCATGATTCATAATTTATCAGTGTAAAAGTTAAAGTTAAAATTAAAAGAGCAATATAAATATTTCCTTATCCCGCTAGACAGGTAAGAACAAGAAACTACTGACAGAAAATTGTAACAGATTAACATCTCACAGTCATCTTATATCATAAAAGGAACATGATTACCAGAAAAGGATCCAGAGTGAGTTTGTCGGTGAAGAAGGGAGTAAAGATTATAATAATAAAGTCATTTTAACAAAGGACATTTACTTAGTATTCCCAAAAGAATTTTAAAACTTCTAATCCTGAAGAGCATCAGTTCTTCTGTGTAGTACTTGGTTCAATATTTTTGGGTTTTTTGTGGACCAGAAGAAATTCATGTAACTGAGCAGGGAATGGAAATTTTTTCAAGGATTTCAGAGAATAACAATTAAATTTGCTACTAATCTCTAACCTGCAATAATTTCCCGTAGTTTAGGGTCTAGGTTTACAGTACAAGGCAGAAAGGTTTTAACATCCCGAGCCACAAGAACTGGGGTTCTTGAAGACAAAAATACTTCAAAATTTCTTATATCTCCATCGATTTCAAGAAGTGGTTCAACATCTTTAGTTGTTGGAATATTCTTTGATATTCTAGAAATAGAAAAAAAGTCATGAGTATAACTGCTCAAAGCGTACTTTATAAAATAATTGTACTTTGTTCTTTTTTTAAAAATAATTTTAATGAGCATTTACAGAGATTTTGGATTTCCATTCATTCATTGCTGCACTTCTCTCCCCACCCAGTCCTCACCCCCCCCAGTTTGCTCCTCTCTTTCAAAAGTAAAAGAAACACCCCTTCCCTGGTAACACAATCCCCCCGCACCCCTCCCACCACCCCAAGTACATTCCACTATGCAACCTTATTAATAGAAAAAACTATGTTAGAGTGAACGAGCAAGCAGGGTTGTCATACATTAATGAGCACTACACATTACTGTGTCTGTTCCAAGGATTTGTCAAGTTGACTACAACTCATCGCAGTCTTATGAATAACCTCTAAACCATGTCCTACTATGTGCAATCCTCATGACGTCTGTCATGTCCAAGCTCACTGTTGCAGTCAATTCATGTCAGTGAGGACCTTATCATCCTTCCCTGACCCTCTACTTTTCTAAGCATGATGTCTTTTCTAAGGACTACTGCCTCCTGATATGTCCAAAGTATGAGAGATGAAGTTTCAGCATCTTTTTCCCATAGGAGCAGCCTGATTGGACCTCTCTCCAAGACAGGTTTGTTCACTGTTTAGCTAGTCTATGGTATGTATATACATTTAATAGTTTTCACCAATACCACAAATACAGTTCAAAGAGATCAAATCTTTTTTGGGCTTTAGTCACAGTCCAACTTTCATACACATATAAAGCAACTGAAAATACCAGAGCCTGCATCAGGTGCACCTTCATCCTTGCTCTTTAACACTTTAGAGACGTAGCTGACAGCAGGTTTGCCCAATGCACCAGGTTTTTTTACTTCTTGATACTGCTATCATGGGTGTTGATAACTGAAAATTCAATCTTTTCTTTATGGAGTACGATGTTGCCTATTGGTTCAGTGGTAAAGATTTTGTTTCCCAGATGGTGCAATGTAATTCATACTGAAAGCTGCAGTTTTTGATGTTCATCAGCGATGCTTCTAGTCTTCTTCTCCTTCTGTAAACAAGGGGTGGGATCACCTGTATAATGTCAGCTGCTGACAATCTTCCTCTAATCCTGATGGCACATTCTTCTTCATATAACCCACTTGTCCAAATTATTTGCTCAGGATACAGATTAAATAGTTATAGAGAAAGGATCCAACCTTGGCATACATCTTTCCTTATTTTTAATCATGCTGTATGCTTGTTCTGTCCCAATAACGGCTTTCTGGTCTATGTACAGGTTTCACAGGAGCACAATTAATTGTTCTGGAATTCCCATTCTTCTCAATGTTATTAATAATTTATTGTTATTCACAATGTCTAATGCTTTTGCACAGTCAATAAAATACAAGCAGGCATATTTCTGGTGTTCTCTCCTTTTAGCTAACACCCATCTAACATTAGCAATGTCAAACCTTCATTCCACTCTTCTTAATCCAGCATGAACTGTTGGCAGTCCCTTGCCACTGTACTGTCTCAGTCAATTTTTAATGAACTTCAGCAAGACATTACTTGTTGTTGTTGCTGTTTGGTGCCGTCGAGTCGTAGACGACTCATAGCAACCCTATGAATGAACAGCCTGAGCGCTGTTCGTACATAGAGTCTCCAGAGGCAAGACATTTCGGAAGTGGATGCTGCTCCTGCTTCCAAGATACTTAGGTATCATAATAATGATCTTGTTAGATAATGTGCACATTCTGTTTGGTCACTTTTTTTTTTTAGAATGAAAACAAATATGGATCCACCATTTGTGTGTCAAGTGGTTGTAGATTGTGGCTTCCATGTTGTTGTGATGCTTGAAGCTATGCCACTGTTTCAAATAAAGATAAAGTCACCTATGGTGGATAGGTTTCATTAGAACTTCCAATCTAAGAAAGGCTACGAAGCAGGACTAGCTATTCATCTCTGAAACAATGTTGTAGGTGCCATTGAAGGGACTACAACTCATAGTGACCTTATGAAGAATAAAGGTAAACTCTGCCTTATCATGTGCTATTCTCACCATCTTTTATATGTTTGAGCCTATTGTTACAGTCTGACTATGCAAAGGCATTTGACTATATGTGGATCACAACAAACTGTGGCTAACTCTGAGAAGAATGGGAATCTCAGAACACTTGATTATGCTTATGTGAAACCTATACTTGGACCGGGAGGCAGTCATCAGAAAAAAGCAAGGAAATATTGCATGATTTAAAATCAGAAAGGTTGTCCGACAGGATGTGTCCTATCTCCATACCTATTCAATCTATATGCAGAACTGATCATCTGGGAGGCTGGGCTCTATAAGGAGGAATGTGGCATTAGGATTGGAGGAAGACTCATCAACAATCTGCATTATGCAGATGACACAATCTTGCTTGCTGAAACTGAGGAGGACCTGAAGCGTTTGCTGCGGAAGGTCAAGGACTGCAGCCTTCACTATGGATTGAAACTCAACATCAAGTAAACAAAAATTCTCACCACTGGGCCAATTGATAACATCATGATGGATGATGAAGAGATTGAGATTGTTAACAGCTTTAGTTTGCCTGGCTCTTGGTACCAGCAGCCAGGAAATTAAAAAACTAATTGCATGGTGAAATTCTGCTGCCAGGGACATATCCAGAGTAATGAAGAACAATTATTTCAGTCTGGAGACTAAGGTGCACCTGATCCAGACCATGGTCTTTGTAATCACTTGTTATGCATCAGAGAGCTAGACATGACTAGGGATGATAGAAGGAGAATTGATGCCTCTGAGTTGTGGTGCTAAAGAAGAGTACTGAATATACCATGGACCACTAGAAGAAAAAAACAGGTTCGTCCTAGAGAGGGTAAAACCATGCTGCTCCTTGGAAGCAAGGATTCTGGAGCTCTGTGTGACATACTTTGGATATGTTGCAAGGAGGGACCAGTTCTTGGAAAGGGACATCACGCTTGGAAGAGTGGAGGGACAGAGCAAGAGCAGAAGACCCTCAATGAGATGGACTGACTCAGTGACTGGAGTAATGGGAGTAGGTGTGTCAGAGACAATAAGGTTGGCTCAGGATAGAGCAGGGTTCAGAGCTGTTGTACATAAGGTCACTATGAGTCGCACGCGACTTGCTGGTACATATCAACAACAGTAATGTTACGGTCACTCTGTTAATTCATTTGGTTGAGGGTCTTCAACTTTTCATCACCTGATCACAGGCCCACTTGAAATAACAGGCCCTCAAAACCCCTAAAAATAGCAGCAGAAAGTTGTAAGATACAATGGCAGACAAAAAGTCCCTCTATGAGGCAAGTTGTGCCATTAATTCAAAGCCTGCATGTCTCCAGAATCTCCTTAGAAGAAAGATGTGCAGTCTTTTTGTGTTGTAAATTACAGTTTCAGACACTTGATAGAGGGTTGTCACAAGTCAGAACCAACTCCATGGCAGTGAGTTTGAGTGGCTGAGAATTAAAAAGGTGTGTTTCAGAGCTGTAGTCTTTCATAGGGGTTAATCAATCAGTATGATAAACAATTTGAGAATTTGAAAACTTAAACTGTAAGAAGAGGACAGCATCAAGATTGGAAGTAGAATCATTAATAATCTGTAGCATGCAGATGTGTGTCAGGTATCATCTGCATAACGCAAGATGTTGATGAGTCTTCCTCCAATCCTGACGCCACATTCCTCCTGATAGAGTCCAGCCTCCCGGATAATCTGTTCTGCATATAGATTGAAAAGATATGGAGATAGGACACATCCTTGCTGTACACCCTTCCGAATTTTGAACCATGCAGTGTTTTCTTGCTCTGTTCTGAGGACGAACTTCTAGTTCAAGTATAGGTTTCACATAAGCACAATCAAATGTTCAGGGATTCCCATTCTTCTCAGAGTCAGCCATACCTTGTTGTGATTCACACAGTCAAATGCTTTTGCATAGTCTATGAAACACAAATAGACATTCCTCTGGTACTCCCTGCTTTCAGCCAAGATCTACCTACCATTAGCTATAATATCCCTAGTACCACAACCTCTTCTAAACCCAGCCTGCACATCTGGGAGTTCTCTGCTGGTGTGCTGTTTCAGTTGTCTTTGGATAATCTTCAGCAGAATCTTGCTTGCATGTGATATTAATGATACTGTTTGATAATTTGCGCACTCTGTTGGATCACCTTTCTTCAGAATGGCAACAAATAAAGATCTCTTCCTGTCAGTTCATTAGACATACTTTGGGCATGTTGTAAGGAGGACCAGTCCTTGGAGAGGGACATCATGCTTGGGAGGGTGGAGGGACAGCACAGGAGAGGAAGACCCTTGATGAGATGGATTGATTCAGTCACTTGGGTAATGGCGGTAGGTGTATCAGAGACAATAAAGTTGGTGCAGGATAGAGCAGGATTTAGGGCTGTGGTACAGAGGGTTGCTATGAGTTGCAGGCGATTTGATGGTACATAAAAACAACAACAACAACATGCAGATGACAGAACTTGCTGAAAACAAAACCAGACTTGAAGTATTTACTGTTTAAGAGAAAAGACTCAACACAAAACAAAAATCCTAAAAACTAGACTAATAAACAACAACATGCTTAACAGAGGAAATAACTGAAGTTGTCAAGAATTTCATTTTCTTGAGATCTACAATCAACAACCATGTCAAGAAATCAGAAGTCATATTGCATTAGATATATCTGCTGCAAAATATTTATTTAGAGTATTAACTTAAAGACTAAAATGTACCTGATTCAAACCCTGATATTTTCTACGGCCTCATATGTACATGGCAGTTGGACGACAGGTAAAGAAAAGTGAAGTTGTAAGACACAACTTTTCTCTGAATTTTTATATATGTTGGTGAAGAATGTTGAAAATCCCATGGACTGCTAAATGTATTTTGAAAGAAGTAGAGCCAGAACGCTCCTGAGAAGCAAGGCTGGTGAGACTTCATCTCACATACTTTGGAGCATGATGTCAAGAGGGGTCAGTTTATGGAATGCACTT